TTAAATAGTTGTTGAGATATTTTAATTTAAAAATTAAAAAAAAATTACTAAAAATGATTTGTCTCTTTTCTATTGACCCACCCCCATATATCAGTACTTCCTGTATATATAACATATATATAAATTTTTCTTTGTGCATATTTTTTTTTGTATTTGCAACAATAAAATTTTTTACATTTATAACACTGGTTAGAACATTAAAAACAGCTTGGCAGATGCTGGGATTTCTTTAAAAAAACCTTTCTTTTACTATATAAATTTCTTTGTATTGTTTGTAAAGAAATTTATATAGTAAAAGAAAGGTTTTTTAAAGATATTTTAGCATCAAACAAGCTGATTTTAACATTCTAACTACTATTAGATGTGTTTTAATAAGCTTTACAAAAGTCTCTTAAATCAGAAAGATAATTAATTTAATATAAAAAAAGGTTTAGATAGAGGCATTGTGCATTCACACTTATAATAAAATTTATATATAAAAAAAAATTTTTGAACCAGTTAACTGGTAAATTACCTATTAATAAAGAACACTATTTGATTTTATAAAACTAAATCACATAATCTTTTATATTTGTCAAATTACAACATAAACCCTCTTGTTTGTCTATATACTTATAACTATAATAAACCACTGCACGGTTTGTGTTTCTGTATTAATGTAACTCTCTGTTATTAGTTGAACTATTTATTAATCGTATTTTCAAAAGGTATATTAGGTTAATATCAAATAATAAAATATGACAGATTAAAATAAAATCAGATTAAAATAAAATATTATACAGTGTAAAAAATATACATGCCACTAAAAAATAAAAATTTTTGAAATGCATTTTTTAGATTAGGGGTTAGAGTTAAAGGTTAGTCTTAGAGTAGAGTTTATATATAATAAACAAGTATAGCCAGACCTCCATAAGTGCACTTCTATAAGTGCATACACTCTATAAATGCACCATAAGGTCCAGTCCTAAGCTGGGACTATAGTGTTAAGTGCACACTCTCTATATTCTGCACATGCATTTGATTTTGCTATTAAGGTACTCTTCGTAAATGCACTATTACGTGACTACAGATCATCTTAACCAATAAAATTTGAACAACTTGCAAAGTAGTTAATCTGATACATAATCAGGATTTATGCAAATAAATGTGAATACTAAATAGGGCATAGGTCGAAAATACAATAATATTACGTAGAACAATTGGTAATAAGCTATTGGAAATTACAGACTTTTTATAAGGATCATCAAATAAACTTTAGAAATGGTTCTATATAAAAGCAGAATCAAGTAAAAAAAAAAAAAAAACTTTTATGTTCAATTATCAACTTAAAAAAAAAAAAAAAAAAAAAAAAAAAACCCTCGGCTATGAAAACTTACCTGAACTAAGTAACCCGTCGCCATACTTAACTGAAACAAGTAACCTGTCACAAAGTGTGGAAGATTCATAGATACCTGCAAGTCAGGGACACATAAAAATTTGGAAATTATTTATACAAATTTGAAAATCATATAAATAAAATCCAAATTTTTACGGGTCCCTGCTGCAAGTTTATCGCACCAGTATATGATAAGCCTAAAAAGAACGACCCAGTCTCCATACTATAATAAATCCAGATTAATTAAATTTATGTCTGGATTATATCTTAAAATCAATCACTAGAAAAATCTAAATTAAATCAATCATTTCAAACCACAACCTTTTTTAATTAACTCTTTCAATAAATCTTTTAAATGATTAAAAAAAAAAAACAAAAAAAAAATTGAAAGTATATTTAATAGTAATTGTGGTGCTTTGGTAATTTCTAAATTTCATCTAAGCAAAAAAAAAAAATTCTTCTATATAATATTTCTTGCAATGCCAAAAAGAACAACTCTAACAGATACTCAAAAATTTGAATTCTGTATTTACGCTTGTAATAACAAGAAAACCCGTTCAGAATATGTAAAGTGGATTGAGAACAAGTGGGGAGTTAAAGTTAACGAGTCCACAATTACATGAATCTTGCAAACTAAGGATCAAAGGCTTTCAAATGAAGTTACAAGTCCAGAGGCTAAGCATCATAAAGCTGTTGCTGTCCCAGAGCTTGAGCTTGTACTCAAGGAATTTATACTAATATATCAGAATCGAACTATCCTAAGTGATACTATGATAGTTGAAAAGGCCAAATTGTTAGCAGAGGAACTTGGTGTTCCTGAAGACAAGTTGCATTTTTCAGCTGGGTGGCTTCAAAAATTTAAAGAACAAAATGAAATCCATCAAATAAAGCTTCATGGAGAAGCATCATCTGTCGATGAGGACATTGTCACTGATTCTTTACCATTGTTGCAGAATAAATACGCTGGATACTCTCTTGACCGCATATATAATATGGATGAAACAGGACTTTTTTACCGGTAGCTTTTTTTTTAAAAAAAATTCTTTGATAGAATTTTTTTTAATAATTTTTTTTTATTGCAGGTTGGAACCGGATTGAACCTTAGCAACACAGCAAATTGCAGGGTGCAAAAAGGATAAGGAACATCTTTCTGTTGTATTATATACAAACGCTGATGGGTCCCACAAATTACCTCCCCTTATAATTGGCAAATATGCCAGACCACGATGTTTCAAAAATGTAAAAATTAATAATCTGCATATAACATACAGAAATAACGCTAAAGCTTGAATGCTTGTGGTTCTTTTTCAAGAATGGCTTCAGGAATTTGACTATCAGATGTTATGGAAGCATAATGGCCAGCGCGTTCTTTTACTTCTTGACAATTGCTCTAGTCATAAATTAGATGGGTTAACTCTTCAGCATGTAGATGTTCATTTTTTTTCTAAAAATACAACATCAAAGTTGCAACCAATAGATGCTGGAGTAATTATGGCTTTTAAAAAAGCCTATCGTCAGTTTCATCTCTGGTTAGTTAGAAGTTGGTTTAAAAATTAGAACCATTTTTACTTTTTTATTTTATTTATAGTTTTTTTATAGTTAGGCTATATATACTTAATGTTTTGGTTTTCATAATATAAAAATTTTTAAATAAATCTAGCTGGCCAGCTTTTTTTTCCTAAAAGTTTTTAAATTTTGACTTGGCCGCATTATGAAGACCAATTAATTTTGCATGGTCTTATTAAATTAAATTTTTTTTTAAAAAATTTAGGTGGATATTAGAGCAAGTAGAAGCAGGAAATCTTGTTCAAGATCTGAAGATGAATGTTCTACAGGTGGTTCTATATATTATAAAGGGTTGGGAAGAAGTTTTAGCTAATACCATACGCAATTGCTGGAATCATACTCAAATTCTTCCACCTAGTGCAGGTTATTCAGATAATCTTCATGAAACTAATGATTCAGAGCTTAGAGATCTTATTAGTTCACTTGATACGCTTTGCCTTCCCAATGCAATGGAGGTTGATAAATTTCTTAATATTAACGGTAAAGAAGTTGTTTACAAAGTCTCCCCGGAAGATCAGGCTATTAAAGAGCTGGTTTATGTATTCAAAAATGATGAAAACATTGAAGCTATAAATGATGAAAGTATTGAAGTAATAGATGATGGAATGGATGATAGTATAGAGTCTGCAATTATTAGTGGTAGTTTAGCATTAAATAGCTTAGAAAGTGTTCAGATGTTTTTGTTGCAGCAGGAAGGTTCTAATGAGCAATTAAAGTCAATTAATTTTCTTGAGAAATTTATTAGAAGGGCGATGTCAAATTCAGCTCTGCAAACCCGCATAGACGAGTATTTTAAATAGACTACAGTACTATAAAGAGAAATTAAGTGAATGGATTCTTTTTAATAAGTTAATTATTACTAAGAAAATCAATAAAGAATTCTGTATTTTTCGCAGCTTGAAAGTATGTGAAGTAATGATAATTAAAACCATCCAGCACTGTAAAATTTATTTTACAATGCATATAACAATGTTGTAAGCTAAAGGTCTAAAAACTACATTTTTACAACGTTATAGAATATCAAAAAAATAAAGGCACTGATGATTATATTTTAGTTACACAATATGTAGAAATGGGATCCTTAAATTGGGAGAAAAAATTAGAACTATTATCTTGTATCGCATTCAATATTCAATTAAACATTTTATTCATTGTGTTTTACGTAGTGGCAACATATTATAAAATAAATTGTATAATGCTGCACGGCACAAAAATAACTTACTTTATCAGACCTACCTAAAAATTAATTGTAATTAATTTTTTTTATACATCATACAATTAAAAATTAATTAAAATTATCAAGAAATTAATTGAAACCCAACTCATTACAATTAAGTTCACTATACCATATAGAGCGCAACATACTGATTTTTTAAATGGCAAAAAATTAAAAATCACATGTATTTACAGTATGTATTATTGTGACTGCGCCATCAATCGATTAATTGAGTTCAATAATTGTAATTAATTGCCTCTCACAATCAATTATTTGTAGGCCTTCTTTATAATTAGCAAGCTAATATTGAATGTTGTTATAATTTACATGCTAAATGCGAGTGAAATAGTGATGGCGCAAAAATTTGGCGGTCCCGTGATTTTTATTCAATCTGATTGTAACATACAAATGCGAAGTAAAAAAAATAAAGGCAAAAAAAAAACTAAAAATCGCAAAAAAACTCATAAATCCGCAAGGGAATTGGGGTTGCTATTATGTAAAGGTTTTAAGTGCAAAAAATTTAGATATATTCTTTCTACTTGTACGTATTAATGCATTAATTTTTAGACGAAAATTAGGAAATCATTGTTATTGAATTAGTCACGGGACTACCAAATTTTTGCGCCATCACTATTTCACTCTTCAAATGCACCAACTCAAAAGATCTAAAGTTTAATACGTATAAATGCCTAATAAAACTTATAAAAGACCCATATTATGCTGTATAGGCCTATGTTGCAAAAAAACATTATGGGATTAGTTATTTTATTAGTGCGCTAAAAGTTATTTTGATTGGTTATAAAATTTGTGTAACATAACCTTATAATTCCATAAGTGCACACCCTCTCTAAGTGCACGCTAATGCCTGGCCCCAAAGGGGTGCACTTATAGAGGTCTGACTGTATAAGTGAGTTTTAGAGAATTAAATAGAACCCTTATTTCATTTTAATCCGATTTCATTATAATCCGCGACAATAATTAAACATGGGGTCGAATCAGCAAGGGTAGCACTAGGTTCTACTCCGAAGTGCTCCGGAGTAAGTTGCTCCATTGACAACATAGACTATACGAATTTCGCCTGCTGATTGGCTGATTTGTTAACGATTATCAAAAGTTGTGTATATGAATAGATGGTTTCTGATTGGCTGTCCAGCTCATGATAAACCCGAACTTTTCCGTAAGAAAGTCCCTCATGCTTACTACCTCAAAACGATGGAGTTTTCATGAGACTTTAGGAAAGGCTGGAAAGACAATCCAACGTCAACAACGCACTCAGCGGAAAGACTCAAAAAACGATAGTTCAATTGTATCATCATCATCAGGAAAGATCATAATGGCCACAATTGAAAAATTGATCGAGAAGTTAACAAGTGGAATTGGTATATAATACATTTCAATCGTTATTTAGAAAAATACTGACATGCTCATCTCTATAAATACTATTACCTTAAACAGATTACACTTTTTTGACAGATTTTTTCCTAACATACCGAAAATTTCTTACTCCAATAAAGTTATGCAAATTATTGATCTTAAGATTCGATTGGGCACTTGGTGGTGACGATGAAGAGAGAAGGATTGTAAGAGTCAGGTACGATATTTGTACAAAGATGATATAATAATTGAAGGTTCCTGACCTAATTAGCTAAACGTGGATTATTTCTTGCTCGATACAGGACTTTTGTAGCTATACGTCACTGGCTTTTAAATTATTTCGCTTATGATTTTATTCCATGTCGCGCTTTACGAACAACACTGACAAAATATCTAAATAGTCTTCCTTCACATCCGTTAGTGAAAAGTTCTCCACGTGATCAAAGGATAGTACAGGGATTAAAGAGGGTTATAAGGAGGTTAAAGAGGATGTATTACCGGAAGAGTGCCATGGACTTTGCGAAAAAAAGGGGTGATATGTACAGCAGTGGTATGAAAAAATTGAGTGGAAAGAACAATGAAATATTTCATAAGAATATAAATCAGGAGCAACTGGGTCAAGATCTTATCGGAGATAAAGTAGTAGTCGATAATGGGGGTGGTAGTGGTGTAAGTACATCATTAATAGAAGACTCAATTAATATTGCTGTCTCGTACGACAGCAGTAATTATTACACTATAACTCAAAAACAATCCAATTTATTGCGACATCAATCGTCGTCGTCATCTCTGGATTCAACAATTACTCCAGGAACAACCGATTCAGAATCTGAAGCAATTGATTCTTATACACCTAGTATTAGTGGTGTAACTCGTAAAGAAACTCATCAGAACATTATATACTCTAGTAGTAGTAATTCACATACTAGCGATGAGGATCAAACTGATGAGTTATACGGCCAAAAGCGGCCAAAATATTCCAGCGAATTAGGTGATGACTTATATATGGAAAGTAACGTTCATGAAGATGAAGATGATGGTGCTGGCGTGAGCAGAAAAAAAGTTCAGCGAACATCTATGCCAGAACCTTTAGCAATTCCAATAGATCAATTAAAACATTCAAAAAGAAAACCAGATAATAGTAAGAAAAGAAGTAATTCAATGGGGGACATGTCACAAAGGAAATTAGATATATTTAATCATCTAGGCGATACAATAAATGAGAATGAAAATCCTTTAGTTGTTAAGGAACCTCCACCACTTCCACCACGACGCAGAAGGCATACACTCGATGTTTCATCTGCATCACCTTCATTTTTTAAAAGTGGATTGTTAAAAACAAATTTTCCTTTGAAGAGACCTAAAAAGTCTGCTTTGCAAGAAAAAATTGTGGATACTTCGCTACCTAGTTCTCGTAAGAAGAGAAGCATGTCTTTTTCTGAAGCAATATGCGGAATCGTAGAAGATGATGACGACGATGATAGTGATGAGTTTGATCTTTTTGAAATTGATCACGCAGGTGGAATTGCGAGAAGAAATTCATCACCAGCATTCATTGGTTCAGCTTCTTCAAAAACAGGCAATCAACTTCCGGGTCAAGAACAGATTGTTCGTCGACCTTCTGCCCGTTCCTCATGGCCTCGAAAGATGTCAATCACGGTAGGGAAATTTGCTAAAGGATTATTTATTGGTGAAAAAAATAAAGGATCTACTCAGTCAGGAGCATTAACCAAGTGTGGTGGCATACAAGGTGACTTTCGGACAATGCGATTCGGTAGGCTTAGCATGCTATGTGCATCATCGAGTTCTGCTAGTACAGAAGAGATTGACTCCGATCTATCGTTTGGAGATGATGTTAACCCAAAAATTTTTAATGGAGATGAATATAACATTCATGTTGATGGATTTTCTTACGTGGATGAGTCTGTCGAGGATGAATATTATGACACATCTCATCCTGAAGAATTTGAAATAACAGAACAGTGGTATGAACAGCAGAGTACACAAGATGACACTAATTTTGAAAGTTTAACATCATCACCAATTGATTTGCATCTTCCTACAATTTCCACCTTTTCTCAAGATAAACAAAGCGATGATGATGATATACTTGATATACTTCAACAAGATTATGAAGAGTCACGTAACAATCGTCAGACAGCCCGTGCTACGCGTAGGAGGGCAAAAATGTGGCATTTAGTTCCAGTGATGGAAGTTGAGGACGATGTTGATCCACCCCCCCAATCATCAGAGACTGATACTTATCTTGTATCACAATCAAGCGGATCACAAAAGGATGATGATCTACAACCAGTTCGAAAACAAAGCTATCTTGAAAGTGTTTCGGAAGTCGAAGAGGGTGGCGATACTGATCCAAACATTTCTCCCCAGCAATCTTTCGAACAAGAATATGAGGATGAGTTTTATGAAGAAGAACCAGGTGATCACCATAATATTCGTGCTCTTCATCATCGACTTCGTCGACTTCCTGAAGTACGCGATTTACGTTCAGTTACCAACCTCAAAGATTTAGATGAAAAATCCGGCAAGCGCGTCTCTTGGGGAACTTCTTCTTACGGAGTTGAAGGTAGTGGCGCTGCAACAGACTCTGCACCTGATTCCTTGATGTCTCTTTCGCAATCAACATCAAAGACAGCACCATTGTCAAAGCGTAGAGGGCCCACCAAGGACGGATCACAAGAAATTGGAGGCCGTCAACGAAACAGACACACCGCTTCTAGGCCATCTTCTAAAAACTCCGCAGAAGCAATAACTTTTGAGAAAGACACCAATATTAGTAGAAGTGGTAGTGTTTCACGTCCCAAAAAGTCAAAACATACGACGATTCACACGCATCACGCTGCAACCACCGAACCAAGTGTTAGTCAAGGACCATGTAAGAACGTTTTGTAAAATAAAAGCTGATGAAAGTCGTTTTCGTCACATTCACTTACCAATGTTCCAACTTGGACAGCATCATCTTTTTCATCAACAGCTCCAAGTTCCCGACAGCTTCCATACAAATCTTTTATACTGTCGTACAGATCAGAAGCTATTGCAAAACAATTTTGCTTAATTGAAAGAGATCTTCTTATGCAAGTTCGGTGGGAAGAATTGGTTCAAGTTAGTTGGGCTAATGGTGATAAAAACAAAAGCAATAATACTAGTGACATTGAGAAAGATTCCAATATTCAAGATATTAGAAAAGAG